AAGTTCTTGGCATTGAAGTCCCCCGAGGACAAGCACGGGGAGGGGATAGCTTCCGACGACAACTGCTCTCAGCTCTGCAAGAGAGTTGTGGAGCTCGGCGAGAGATCGGTTCGGGGAGAAGTACACCCCCACAACGACGAACTCCCCGAACCGTGCTGCTACGCACCCCTGACCCCTCCTGACACCTTCAAGGGTCGGGGTACCGGCGGCGGCCGAAGAAATGATGGCCACTGAGCCGTTAAGGTCCGCCACCCAGTCCTTCCTAGGCCAGACAGAATACGGCTCAGCGACCACAGCGATGTTAATCGACCACTGCGCCATGCTCTGGAGCAACAGATCCTGAGCGCAGGCGCAGTGGTTGATATTCGCCTGGAGGAAGCTTAATGGGGCCGTTATAGGCATTCCATTTCAGCTTCCTCCACGGGGCGCCCCTCTGCAGGCGTCGGTGTCGCGGCGGCGGCGGCGGCGACAGTGACAGCGGCGGCGGCGGCAGTTGCAGCTGCGGCGGTGGCCATAGAGGCGGTGGCGGCGGAGGAGGGCCCTCCCCTACCCGCGGCCTTGGCCTTGGCGGGTGACACGCAGGCCCTGCTTCCGGCCCAGTGATCGGCTGGCTTGCTGGTCGCCGCACATGCATCACAGTGCGGCGTGGCACAGCAGGTCGCCGATATGTGTCCGGGCTGACAGCAGCGGAAGCAGAGGCCACTGCGGTCAACCTCCGAGGCGCATTTCGCTGATACGTGATGCCCCACGAGACAGCGGTAGCACCTCATAGGTCTGGGCTCCAGCAGCTTAACCTGCGCTGAGACCCAGCCCACCAGAAGCCTTCGGCCCTCCACTATGGTTTTGGCCGCCGTAACAGGGCAGCACACCGTGGCGGCATGCATACCCTGTTGGTCCGGGCGTATGGCGCCTGACCTGACCTGGTCAGTAGTGCACCCCCCGGACCTGGCGACGGCGGCCACCAACTCCTCCTCCGATACCGAGTCGTCCAGACCCATGATGCGCAGGTCTGCGCATCTGACGGGCCTGGACACTCGGGCCTCGTCCGCGTTCAGGGACTCTCTGAGCTTAGCAGCCAGAGCGTCCGCAGTCGCGCCACTGGATTCCCCGGGGATCTCCAGCATACGGGCCGGAGGCCCCCAGTGATCCCAAGCTCCCCGAGATCCACCGCCTCTTTCGCCTTCGCGAACAGATCGCGGTAGGTAACGCCCTTCTTTTCCGCGTCCGGCTGTAGTGTAATCACTACAGCTGCGGTCTTCGGGGCGCGGAGCCTAGCCGCGATCTTGCGCGCCCTGAACTGGCGCTGCCGCTCCTGCTCTTTGGCCTTTTTGGCTGCCTTCTTCCCCTTCTGTTTGTCCCCGACCACCTGCCAACCGGCTTCTGCCGCGGGAGGTGTAGGGAGCTGGGGGGGCGGTGGCGGCGGCGGCAGCTGGCTTGCCGCTGGCGCTGGCCCATTCGCCGCAGGCACTGGGGCTGGCGCAGCCATCACCTGTGCTGCCGCCTTGCCCTTTTTCGCCTTCGCCTTGCCTCTCTTTCCCGTCGCCGGCTTAGCCGGAGCCGGTTCAGCCGGTATCGGTTTTGCCGGAGCCGGCTTTTCAGGGGGGGGAGGGGCAACTGCAGCCCCACCCAAGGGCTGGCTGAACGGCCCCGGCCTGGATGTGGCAGCCGTGGCCGTCGCGTAGGAAACCGTTGCCGGCCTCGCCGCCGTCTTGTTTGCCCCTAGGGGGGGGGCGCAGGACGATGCCCTCCAGCACGGAGAACCGGTGCTGGAAGGCAACCAGCTCCTGCTGGACCAGGTTCAGAACCTGGTTCTCCACCAGCACGGGCTGGCTTGGGCGCTGCGTCTGGGGCGCCGTGCGAGAGGCAGGCTCATGCAGACTGGACAGGTCTGCGCGGAGCTTCTCATTCTCCTTCTGGAGAGTCTCCATGGCGGACGTCAGGCGGGCCACGTCCGCCCGCAGCTTCGCCACCTCGTCCGCATTAGGCCCGGCCCCAGCAAAGTTGGCCTCCGCAGCCGCCATGATGGAGGCGGAGGCCGCGGGAATGGCGTTGAATTTCGAGGAGGAATAATTTACATACCTAAATATTATATTTAGTAGTTAGTACTTCCGGTCTATATACGTCCCACATCTGAGTATAGGCCTCCTCACATTTCTAAGAGTATTTTAAGGAAAAAAATGTTCAATGTGCTGGCCCAAGGCATGTTGATGTTTTTATCTAGGTACCTACATAATATGTGGGTTGTTTTTTATTTCTCAGACATGCAGATTTCCTCAAGAAGGTTTTCTCCGCCACCGAGCACGTGGCGTTATTATGTCCTTGAACTTTTTTCACATATATAAAAATATTAAATTATAACATTACAAACACAGTATTAAAAACTAAACTTTTAATAAAAAGAAAAAGCTTACTTCAGAGAACTGAAAAGGATATAAAATTTCCACATAAAAAGCTTCAGAAGTCAATGCAGAAGCAGAATTAAATCCTCGACTTCAGAAGCTTACTTATATGTAAAAATGATTCTTTTTAGGGTTCCATATCCAAAGGGTAACCAACTGGACCCTATTACTAAGCCGCCGCTGTCCGTCCGTCCATCTGTCTTTCAGCGGACTGTATCTCAAGATCCGTAATAGCTAGACAGTTGAAATTATCACAGAATCTGTATTTCTGTTGCCACTATAACTTTTTTTCACTAAATTTTTAATTAATTAAAATTAATTAAAAATTAAAGGGGGCTCTCCTACTAGAAACGTGTTTCATGATGGTACGGAATTTTCACGCGCGAAAGTTACATTAAAAACTTTATCCCCTTATTTTCCATCATTAGATAGGGGTGAAATTTTTTCTCCAAATTTATTAGAGAGCACTGCTGAAGTACTTATACCTATTATACGTATAACCTATTTAATTAAAAAAAGAATAATTTAAACTGGGACACAATAATTTTTGGACTAGGTCACACTCACACCATCAGTCACAAATTGCATAACATAGGTACATACAAAAAAAAACAAATAGTCAAACAGTACATCCATACTACGAATCCGTACCATTTGCGAGGTCGTTGAACCACACGCATTGAGGTGCTAATTTCAATGTTAACTTACATTAGTGTGTAGACGCGGTAGTTATGAGATTGTTGATTAGATTATCCGTGAGTGCCGAAAGTGATTTTACACGAAACGTCACAATGTTCCTTTTACAGTTGATGCGTAGGCAATAGTGAAGTCATAATTATTTCATTTTTGTTTTTATAGTGACAAACGAGTATATTCTTCATCTAATGGTAAGATTTTTTTTATAACGCTTTATGGCTCTGAGCTCTAGCCTTTCTGAGCCTGAAATTACAATTTATAACTATCCATCATAGTACACTGCTTCACAATATGTTGATGCGTCACATTGTGCAGCCCTTGGGCGATTTTGACGGCAACTTGAGCCAGCAGACAGCTGACAGTTGGCGATGTATCTCAAGGCGCCTAAGCAGATTGAGAATCACATCAAAATCAGAGCACTTGTTTCACCGTTTCCACTAATAGTTCACATGCGCAGATAATTAATACAAAAAATCGCACCACATTTACATATCAAAATGCACTTCAAACCATTATTTAAACAATGATACAGGAGCAGCAAGCCGCCGCCGGTCAAGTTCCCGCCAAAACTCTTAATGGTAAGTGGACGCAGTGGTCCATAGACATACACCATCCTACATCTATCCTCGATTATTAATATGAAGATAGTCAAGTATATACAATAATAAATCAAGGTTTCAAATATATTTAATAAATATAAATATACTTAGATTATTTAAAAATAGATTTTAAATAATAATTTCAAATATTTCAGGAACAAATCATGTTAATTTCATTCACATTTCATCGTAGGCAATTTCTTTTAAAAATAAGTAAAATAATAATTTCAAAATGGTAGCATATAGGTAATGTCGGTCTTATAAATAGTGAAGCTTACAAAGTACATAATGTTATCAGCATAGATTATTATACATAAATAAACCCAATTCAATTTCTCCTGATCGTATAGTTAAAAGAAAATACATATTAGGGTAAGGATAGGTATGTTGGCGATAAAAAATGAAATTCTTCAAAAACAATGCAACAAATCACTTTTCTTTATTACTTTACTTATTATTTGAAGTAACTACCTAGATCACTTATCTCAACAAAACTCTAATAAGTTTTATAATAAATGACAAACAAACATACAAGGTTATCTAAGGTAAGTTGGCGATATAGTCCGGTAAATTGGTAGTAGATAGGAAATATGGTGATATTTTGGAAACTGTAAATATAGTCAAATATCTAAAAATATTATTCGATACAACGATCACATCTATAATATAGTTGTTCTTCAAGGTCAGTATCTTCTATAGATGCGCATACCTCGTGGTATGGCGTCAAACAATATGAGCATTGGATCCATTTGGCTCCATTCTTTTTTTTAACATCTGTTGAGTATAAGACTTCACATAAGCCAAACTCCCAATCATCTTCTTCTTTACTTTTTTTTTTGTTTTAGATGCAGATTTACCCGAAGTGGACGGCTGAGACTGAAGATCTTCTTGCATAACATTTTAATTAGTCAGTGTTAAGCATTTCGCACTAGAATCTCTTTTTCTTGACCTCTCTGGACGTCCTAAAGCTTTGGGTGTTTTTAAAATGTCGTCTACTGTGAGTTCAAGTCTTGAAGTACAACTTTCAGATGCTGCGTTTGTTGAAGTTGTAGGTAAAGAAGCAGGAGCAGTGACAGTTAAAGATGAAGGTCGTAATGCTTCTTTTGGAACTACATTGTCGTTTAAAGGGCATATGCCTGTTTTTTTAAAAGCATTCTCGATGTTTTTTTTAGTAAAGGCGCTTATAAATGCTGGGTTCATTATGGAATGGAAGTTGCTACGATTTGGAGCATCTCTAGGGTTATCGTTCATGTACCGATTCATGCTGTCGCGCCAGTAACTCTTAAGTGGCTTAAATATTCCTACATCAAGTGGCTGCAATAGATGCGTGCAATGAGCTGGGAAAGTAAAAAAAAAATTGATTATCTTTCGCAACTTTAAGAACTTCTGCTCCAATATGTACAGAATGTGAGTCCATAAGTAAGACCACATGACGTTCAGGCGGCATGGCAGTTATAAAAAAATTAAACCATTCGTAAAATAATTCAGAATTGACCCATCCTTTAGGAGATAGTTTAATTAATGCGTTGGGGAGTGCATCATTTTTGAGTGTAGCATTCCACCTAACACCTTTAAAAATTATCATAGGAGGAATCCATGTTCCGTCCGCACAAATGCAAGCTAACATTGTTTGAGTTTGACCTCGTTCAGCGTAGGATCTTTTATAAACATACTTTTTACCAATACCGGTAACAACTTTAGATGGTTTCACTACATATGATAATCCAGTCTCATCACAATTCCAAATTAAATTCGGTTTGTTTTTTATATTAAGTTTAGTGAGAAGATCATCTAGTTTCGAAAAGAAATCTTTGATCATAACTTCATTAGCCATAGAAGCTCTATAGGCCGAAAGATTCTCTGGCACACGAAGGCACAAATTGTACGTACTCTTGAAGCTATTCCACCACCATTTGCTTGTAACGCGATTATCTGATGGTAAGAAGTTCTCCCGACCAGCCAATTCAGCAATATCATAAGCATATTTTCTTATCTGGTAAACAGTTAGCCCAAATCCCAATTCTCGCATTTCTATAATATAATTATAAAGTTTTAACTCTAAGTCAGAAGACAGTGCATAAGGCCGCCCCATTTTTCTTACAGAATCCTCTTCATTTTCCAGATAACGCTTCAAAGTGCTCCATGGAACGTCTGCTTCTTTAGCAGCTTTGTATATAGTCTTACCTTCATCTTTTACTAATCTGACAGCTTTTTGAAGTTGCTGCTGATTATATTTTCTGTATTTACTTCCTTTTTCCATTGCCAACCTGCCAACCAAAAATTTCGTACAGGTAATTTGGTGATAAAAAAAAAATTATTAATTCCAAAATAACATACACTTACGGATTTCTCAAAACAATATCTTTCGAATGGTATATTAAACTTTGATGGTTTATTTTAAGTAAAAGAACAAATTACGTTTAAAAATAGCATTGTAAAATGGTACCGATTTTTTTTGCTAAAACACTAAGTAACAACGGTCGCAAATTAAGGAATAAAAACTTACCTTGACTGAATCACGACTTTACTGTAACTTTAGCTTGATGATTTTAAGTTTATTTGATGGTTTTATATAGTTTTATTACTAAATCTGCAATTATTAAAACTAAATTCTATCCAAATACGTAAAGCAACCCGAATCCACTAAACAATGGCGCCACAGCTGCGCAACTGTCAAAAAAGTTTACTCACCTGACGCTGCGACGACTTAGCGGAGCGCGTGCAATATATCTATCCCCCTCACACTTGTAACAACTCGATAGCGCTGTCTCACGAACTTACTAGCATAAGGAATTCCGTGGCATTCCGTATAAAAAATATCACCAAATTACTTATATCACCAATATACCTTTCCTTACCCTATACAACAATATATTTTACATTCCAATTTTAAAATCGTAATCGTATTAAAAATAATATAATGAATATTCCATTCTTCCTATAGCAACAAAGTTACACGCATCAAAATTTTTGGAAAACATATGTTATTTGTATTATTGAGCTGTCCTCCGTTTATGCTCTACTTCTTGACGTGTACTCACGCACACGTCTTTCTTTATTTATTTGGTAGAGCCATGCTGCAGCTATATTAGTAGTATAGTTGTAGCACGAATGGGTCGGCTCGACCGGGGAAGGACCACGCTCTCACAGAATACCAGCGTCAAATAGCAGCTTCATTCTGCTGTGTTTCGTATGGTGAGTGTAGAGAACCGGAGACCCTTTTACTGGAAAAGAGGCATTCTATCTTAGTCCTCGCGGCTGACAACGCATCTGCATTTTGATTCGCAAATGAGGATAAATGTAGATGTCTATGGGCCACAGCAGCCACTTACCATCAGGTGGACTGTGTGCTCGTCACCCTATACTATAAAAAAAAAAAAGTTCACAGCTGAACTCTCACATATGCACCTAAAACCATAGTGTTGGTTGCTAATGATTTTACGCAGCACTCCGTAGTCTTTCTTCGTTGGTCTGAGGGATTGTCTGGGGGCACGAAGGTGGTACCTCCGTCAAGCTGACCAAACAGGAGCAGCAGACGTACCTTTTCTGAAAGCGATTCGGCGTATTTTCAAAACCTTATAATTTTTTTTTCAGGGTAATAGGTAGGTTCTTCAGTACAAAAATTTTGCGAGCTTGTTCTACTTACGATATTTCCTCAAATAAGTTGTACCTACATATTTAGAGTGATGAGAGTTTATATATAGAGCTACGCTACAACGTCTTATTGCTGCACGAATGACTAATATTTAGGGTAGAGTCACGCTACAACGTGCTGTACGAATCCATGTGGTAGAGTCACGCTACGACGTGCTGTTGCTGTACGAATGACAATACATATGGTAGAGCCAGGCTACAACGTGCTGTACGAATGACAATTCATATGGTAGAGCCACGCTACAACGTGCTGCACGAATGATAATCCATGTGGTAGAGCCACGTTACAACTTGCTGTACGAATGATGCTCTATCTGGTAGAGTCACGCTACGACGTACTGTTGCTGTACGAATGACAATTCATATGGTAGAGCCATGCTACAACTTGCTGTACGAATGATGGTCTGTCTGGTAGAGCCACGCTACAACGTGCTGCACGAATGATAATCCATGTGGTAGAGCCACGCTACAACTTGCTGTACGAATGATGGTCCATCTGGTAGAGTCACGCTACGACGTGCTGTTGCTGTACGAATGACAATTCATGTGGTAGAGCCACGCTACAACTTGCTGTACGAATGATGGTATATCTGGTAGAGCCACGCTACAACGTGCTGTATGAATGATAATCCATGAGATATAGCCACGCTACAACTTATTTTTAGAGTTCCGAAAAGAAAAAATGTAACCAAAAAAAAGCACTTTGTTTTTTGTCTGTCCGCCTGTCTGTAAGTTTGTCAAGGGTACCTACATGTATCAAGTTGATTTTTTTTAAACAATCAATAGCCTTTTATTTTAGTGTTGTTGTGTGTGTGTAGTATTGTAGTGAGTGTTGTGGAACACTCAGTTAGAACGACGTTCCTTTCGCAGATATTATTATTGATAAACGTATTAAAAATCTAACAAATACATATAAAAAATAAATGAATTACTTACTAGCGTCTATTAAAATGAAGCGTCATTTAAAATAATATTTATTTCATGACAAGATAAGAAAATGTATCGTCTAAAACATTTTCTTCCCACAAACTCTAAAATCATGCTTGTCCATTCGCTCATATTACCCATAATTGATTATGCAGATGTGTGTTACCCAGATCTGTCCCAAGATCTTCTGAACAAACTGGAACGCCTTCTTAACAACTGTATAAGATTTATTTTCGGGCTTCGTAAGTATGACCATATTATATCTCAATATAGATCTAAGCTAAATTGGCTTACAATCCGTTAGAGGCGCAATTCCAGAATATTGCTTGTTCTTTTTTCCATTTTAAATGACCCATCTTCGCCTTCTTATCTTAAGAGTAAATTTCACTATCTCTCCTCATCTCATGATAGGGTCCTACGTTCTTCTTCTAACAACAAAATCTGTATTCCTGTTCACTTCACCGAGTTCTATGGCAACTCCTTCACAGTTCAGGCTACACGCCTTTGGAACTCCTTGCCCGATGACATCAGAAAAGCACCCAATAAGTATGTTTTTAAAAAAATGGTCCGTAATCATCTATTGAAGACAAAGCATTTTACTTGATTCATCCATTTGATATGTATTGCTAAACAGACGCATATATTCATAGGTATTTGTATGTACTAATTATATATTATGTATTTAAATATGTATATTTGTATGTATATATTTGTATATATGTTTGTATACGTCATATATGTATATGTCGGAGCGTCTATAAAATACCCGGTTAGATCGAGGTAGAATGGAGGGTATATCGAGAAACCCCCTCTTGTGTCTGTAGTATAAAGTTCACTGTAGGTGCCGTGCGCGAGAGTTCGCTCAAGTCATTCAACGAGTGTGGTCATTCTACTAGTGCTAAGATAGTGTCGTGGTTTTGTTCGTTGTTGTAATTCTTCTAGTGCAGGCAAAGAGGATTAGTGTTGCTGAGAGGCTGCCCTGTGTTACATTGAGATAAGTAGTGTTGCTGTTGGTTTACATATTTTGGTGTTATCATGTAATTACGTACCTCACGTTACACTGGTGTGTGATTGTGGCAGAGACGTGTTACGGTGTGGTCGAACTGTAATTTCACTATACTGAATGTATAGTGCGTTACGTTGTCTTATTACTGATAATGATTAAATTGCGTAAGCAAGAGAGCAAGTTGAACATCCGCTCTCACACTTTTATTATTTTTAACAGTTAACGCTATCCTGATGTATCTCAGAGATCAAAATTGCGATCCTCTATTGTCATTTCCGATATCAGAAGTGGGATAAAGTCCCTGTTATCGTCCACATATAACCTTCGAATAGTGTGAGGGTTATTACGTTGGTGAAAGACTATGACGTGCCTCGGATTATGTTTGATGTTAAATGGCTTAATGAAGTTTTTTTGTCCTAGTTACGACTTTGACGTACCATTAAAGTGTAGAGTAAAAGTTTAAAGTGAAATGTTTTGAGCCAAAAGTTAAATCTTTTTGTTCGATTAATAATAAAAAGTACCCGCAAGTACTTTCATTATTTCTAAACGTACCCAAATATGATAACTAATGTCGAAAGAAATGTTGGAGGTATTCTAAATGAGTTATAGTTTACATTCAGTGGAAGTTTAACTTGCTCAAGTTATGTTATAATTTGATACACGAGGTGTGATTTACATGGGCTAGTTTTAAAATTCAAAATGTTTAAATGATGTACCGAAAAAAGGAACATGTTTACTTTAACGTGCTATTAATTAAAAACACTAAGTTGTATTTCTGTGTTCTAATGTGTTGATAAGTGTTACAGTTTACTGCGAGTATTACGTAGTCGATAAAATTGGGATTTGATGTTGAGGGCTTCGTGGAAGATGTGGTGCTGTGGCACTCGCTCTTGAGTGGAAATATGCTGTAGGATTATGACGCCGCGGACATTTTATTTGCCGCTGCTACCGATCACCGTTTGATACAACATGAGTAAAGTAAATTTATCCTAAGCATTGTCTTTTTTGTACTATTTTGTAAGAATGAGTGTTTAACTTTTTAATTGGTTGCGAAAAATGTTGGAAAACCAAAGTATAATTGACGAAGTTGAAGTAGAGCAAATTAGTTCAGACATTGAAGAAAGTATTTAAATTTACATGAGGATCGGACCATACCAGTTAGTCGTGTAGCCGCAGCTCAGTTTATGGTGCCCTGGAAAGGCAAATGGTGTCCCGAGAGTTGTACTGCATTTTTTTTAAAATTAAGTTCAGACTGAATCTCTTTCGTGTTTTCTTTTATGTTACAGCAACACGTGTGATGTGACTGTGAGGCGAGTTTGTGCCTTGCCTAGTCTGAACGGACAGCCAGGTCCAGTTGTAGCATGGCCTGGTTTCGGCAGATGCGTATGCGCGTATACGCAGGCGCCATCCCGGCGCACGTGTATGCTGTACATGGCGGTGCCTCGGAAGTCGTACACTGTGTGCGCGGAAGTGTTATACTCTGTATGCGCGGAAGTCTTATTCTCTAAACATGCATTAGGCTCTGTCCTGGCAGGCACTGTCCTGGTTTATGGTTTTAACGTGGTTCACGTGGTTAACGTGAGATCTCGCAAGTTCATGTATGTGTGAGATACTTCGTATGGAGATGTATCCATACTTGTGAAAGCAAAGTGCTTTATTATAGTCACCGGTAT